TCTATACTTTTTAGCACGTAGCTATTTATTATTAACATTATTCTTCCGACGTCTGATTTCTTTTTAATTATAGGAAATGCGTTTTTCTAAGGTACATAAACTTTTGGGATTGATTGTATAGCCAATACATCCTTAACCCACAGGGATCCCTGCCTTCTCCTATCATTGACTCGTACTACTTAACTCCGTATAATAACTAATAACAATTCCCAAGTATATTTAACAGTGATTAAAGCAATCGTTTCGCATGGACCGTTTCTCTCTCTGTTTCAGCGACGGCAGTGATCTGTTGGACGACACGGGGGACGATGCCAAGTCTGTTCGCACAAACGACGACAGCAAAAAGTAAGTGAAACGAGTCAATAATGTATGATCCATGAAAAGTACTGCGCGCCTATAAATCTTAGGATTAGGGATCTGATTCGAATCGGTGTTACACGGTGATTTATTGACTCTCGATCGACGATTTCGTACCGTGTGTCTCGGTGAAAGTGTTTTACTTTAATGGGAAAAATGCGATAACGCGGTGCGCCGCGAGAAACCGCACTGTGGCTCAAAGCTTGCACTTGGACGCCGGTTACGTGGTATTATGTCAGGTATTGCCAAGGTAAGTGCCACCTTGACCCACCTCGATTCTTTCCTTCGGCTTCATCGGCGACGTCATTAATCCAATCAGCGGCAACGGAGATTATGAACGCCGGTGAAAAAGTCAGACCGTTTATTTTACACACCCTCAACATCTCAGAATCTCGATGATGACTTAATCGCGAGCTGAAATATTTTCCTTCCATGGCGAATGCATAATTCGAGAAATATTTCAGAGGATATCGCCGGATATAATACTCCTGTTCAATTTTTTAAATAATTTTATCGATCTAAATAAACAGCAATCGTTATCTTCGGGAGTCTCAAGGTTTATTTAATCGGTGTATGTAAACCTGTGATTTCGAACGCGAAGCAACGTCACTGTTACATGCAGAAGTATTACCTATTCGGAACGAGAGTAATACTCTGTGCGATGCAAATTACTCATTGCTAAAAAACAATAGTGAATTCGTTACCTCGATCGACGATCAAGTGTTACACTTGGTATATGAAAATGTTCGATTACGCGGACGTTAGGACAGCCGGGTTTCTAGCGAATTCCTACAACGAGTCGTGGTCCGCTTTGTAAACCGAAACTGGTTTCTCGAGACTTCCGCCCGGGCAATTGATCGCCACGGGATATGAATGCGAATTCCTCGCAGACAAATCACCGACGTTCGCTGACAAAAGCGTCGTTTATTAGCTGAATCGCCTTTTATAATCGATTCACCGCGAGACGGACAGCAGAGGACGTGGCCGAGAAGAGGAGATCTCGAACTTCGATCGGTCACGATTCACTTTTATACCACAGAAGGAGAAACTAACGAAATGATAAAATAATTTAAATTTCTTGGTTCGATGGTCGTTTCTTCGAATGTAATACGATTAGAAAATGGAGAACGCAGTTAGCGTTTTGGGGATGATATTACAAGTGTTCCGATATCATCGTGTCAGCGAATGTCTCGAGTCGCTTTACTCATGAACACGTCAGAATCGTGAAAAGGAATATTTAAAATTTAGGATGGTCTCTATGCACTGTTTTACAGACAGAACCACAGCGAGATCGAGAAGAGGCGGAGGGACAAGATGAACACGTACATCACGGAGCTGTCGGCGATGGTGCCGATGTGCCACGCGATGTCCCGCAAGCTCGACAAGCTTACCGTACTCCGTATGGCCGTACAACACTTGAAAACGATCCTCGGAGCCGTCACCTCGTATACGGAGGGCCACTACAAGCCGGCGTTCCTCAGCGATCAGGAATTAAAGACGCTGATACTTCAAGTGAGTCTTATCGAATCTCTGAATCGCACCACGAATTTATTCCCCAGGTATTTTAAAATGTCACCGTTCTAGAAAAAGCCCGGATAATCGATAGGGAATGACATAACGTGCGTTGCGGTTGATAGTCTTATTAAGATTGCGAAAGGAGGCAAGAGATACGCAGGTAGCTATCACTTAAACGCGGCCGATTCGAAGATTATACGCCATTACCGATTCCGTATTCGGGAAACCAGATAGCAGAAACGATTGTGCATACCATTCTGGTACAAGACTTCCTGGTATTTCAGAGTCCAGTTGCGTAATTCCGAATACAGTTCGACTCGAGACACGGTGTCTTTGACGGTCGCTCGTGACTTTTTCACATAGTAAAACAATTTCTCGCTATAAATCTTGGTTCTTACACGATTATAAGATCTACGCTAGACGGCAAGCGTTAATAAGTCGAATCTCAATCCCGACCGATGGACGGATAATTCGTTTTCCCATGGCCGGCTTGATCGCGTTATAAAGCTACCACTCATTAATCCTTTAATTGGTAGCGACGCGTTTTTTACTCGCCGCTTGTAACCTACTGTATACGTACGTATGTACATACTAATACCCAGATACTCGAGTTTTGCAATCGTACCGGCTGTAGCGTAATAGCCGTGGCTAACCTTTCTCCGGCGTGCTACACATTTTTCACAGCGATTGGTCTCGTGACGGGTGAAAGAGAAGGGCCCGAAGCATGTAGATCTGCAATTACGCGACGCCGTTTGATAATAATATACCCGTCGCACCGTTTACCTCGATCAGGCTTCTGATCCGACGATTAATATTCACTTAATCGCATCATCGAACGATTTTCATCTCGTCGACGATTTCTGTAAAACTCATAAAGGCAACGTTCGTTTAAAAGGGAGAAATTCCTTCGATCACGATTCTCATTCTTTTATATTATGTTAATAAAATCCGCAGGCTAACGACGGTGAAGCCTCGTAAAGTTCAATAAAGAAGTACATGAAGTTCCTTTCGACCACAGGAAAGAGTCAGAGTAGAAAAGTATAAGCAGACTTTTAAGTATACGTTCCCTATCAGTAACAGTGCACACTACGTACGTGTTGTTAATAGAAAAAGAAGATGTTATCTATGAATGACTTGCACGCCGTTTACGTAATTTAGAGTAATAACTGGCCTTGGGAATATTTTAATCAATAGTTAGTTTTTCACGTTTAGGAAATTAGCACTTATTTCAAGGTAGCAAGCGACGGTTTCGCGGTTTTGCTCAATATCGGCTATAGCCAGGTGGCAAGGTGACGAATCGTTTTCGTCATTGGGGAGATAATGGAATAATCATTAAATACGAAAGGAGATCGAAGAAACAAGAGCCTCGTTCAACTTGGTTCGTAAGGAATTTTGGTCTAATGGGACGAGTCAGATCTCGGATTAGATCTATTTGGGGGAACGAATGCTTGCAACGAGACTTCGTCTGTTTCTATAGAAAATTCAAGAGTACATCGCGCATACGAAGATTTTTATTAATATTTCGCAGAGTTAATTGTAAGACGAAAGCTTCGCCTTATTTTTCTGAAGTTATCTCGCTATTTTTATTACTTGTCCACCGACTCGGCTGGTACCTCGCGTTGAATTCATACTTTGTGATATAAAACTTTATTATTAATATAAATCTAGTATCCGAATAAAACTGTACTAAAGCGTTCATATATAATATTAAACGAACGATGAATTATTATTTAAAGAACCTCGATGCCTGCATTGATGTTCTTTCTTATGGTATTTCGGAAATATTTGAATTAACAAAAAAATAATTGCGTAAACGTGGAGTCTCGTGCAGAAACGATCCACCGAACGTTTAAGAATGAGCAGAACCGAACGACCGGAGTTCCTTTTCACTCTAGATTCCGTCACGCGACTGAGCACAGATAGCCCGTGTCGGTGGGATTTTTCATTGTCGCTTGCATACGTACATAGATGCATGCACACACGCTCGTACGTAAGAGAAGTTTTATCTTTTATCGGGACTTTCCTTTGCTCCGGCCGCTCGACTGAATATTCGAGCGAGTGACCACACCCGGCATACCAGCTCAGATCTACTACTCCCGGCTCCATTATTATCTACTGAAACTTTCATTGTGAATTGCTTCACGTTTATTACTGCCGCGGCAGTGCCGATACCGGTATCCGGTTCGCGGCTAAATTAACATTTCCACCGTGTGACAGACGTTAACTGTAAACCCAGGATCCTTGACGACTAGGATCTAGCGTTCGGTTTTCGACTCGCCTCCTTGGAACGTTCTCTCGCGCTGCTAACGCATTTCTAATTATGAGAAACGATGCAGTAAAAGCGATCCTTCACTTTCGTTCATTAGCCCCGATCGAGCGATAAATCAGCACGCTATTAGAGAAATTCCGACAGCTTTATTAAATGAATTTTCAATGTCAGGATTGATGACGTTGTCTCTATTACGGATTATGCAAATAAGAAACAGTTCACGTTTGACATATTAATATCCAAATGAAAATTATTTAAATAGTTTCATTAGGTACAAAATATCTTTGAACATCAAAGGTTAAATTTATTAGACAGCGAGTGCTTGAAGAAAATTGGCTTTTCATATAAACATTTTTGTCGACGAACTTCTTCCAGCTTTACTAGCATCCAACGTTATGAACAATTAGACAGATACTATCTGGCATTAGCATATTGTGGCCATCATAACACCTTCTCGAGGAATATTATACAACTAGTTATTACCTCGCATAACATTCATCGATTCATATTATAATATTTTTTATCGTTGAATTGAAAATAAATCTTCATCGATATAGTGCCAAGTATTTGATCGATAAAAACTGCAAAATGTATGAGTCAGTTGTTTCCCTTTTAAACCATTTTATCCAACGCGTCGATCGAGAACTGTTTGCCAGCGAGCGAGAAGAAATCCCGGAACCAGATTACTCGAGGGACAGTTGATTAGAATCAAGTGGGCCAATACTGAAACTTGTAACTTCGTCTCGTTACCCTCGCGCGATGGATCCTTGTCCAACGATCGCGATAACGCGAGAGCAGCGGCGCGTCAATGTTTATAGGTGTATCGTCAATCTCTTTGGCAGGTAAAGAGTCGGAGCCGGCCTAAGTGCGTTCGCCGTTGCGTAATCGGTATTCGCGAAGCCTGCAACGATATATCTATTCGGTCCCGCGCAACAGCATTGATCAACGTCGGTACGCCTCTAAGTTATGTACCTGCACGTGTATACTTAAGCCTGTAAGTTTACATGCGTTCGATTTTCACGAGATGAGCCTCAGCCAGATCCCGGTGATCCACTTGGGAAACCTGTTCTCCCATTGACTTTTACTACGCCACTTTTACTTTGAAACACGACGGATGTCATCTGATTGATAAACTGAGAAAATATTGAGACTGGTTATTCAAATCACGTCGCCTGATTTAGATCGTGGAATGTTAAACGAAAACGTTTAAACACGAGGAAGTGTTGAGAAAATGGTTGAAGTAAATGCGTTCAATGAAATGATCGAACAATCGAACTGATTTAGAAGCGTCAAGTGTATTTCAATAATTATTCAAATAATTAAAGAAAACGTATGCGATCGAACGATGACCGTCAATTGCATAATCACGATAATTAATATTTGATCCAGGTGACGTAATCGAAGACGCCTTCTCTTATTTCAGGCTGCGGAGGGCTTTGTCTTCGCGGTGGGGTGCGATCGTGGAAGAATTCTCTACGTATCCGAGTCTGTCCTGCAGACACTCAATTATTCTCAGGTATCCTTTCGCCCCCGATACACTTATAATTGAACGCTGGCCGTAAAATAAATTTCGTCCGGTTCCTGGAATAGAACACAATGCGGTATTAAAATAAATCTCACGATCCCTTTAACGTAAAATAGATATCTGTGTCGTAACGATAGTAACGAAGTCAGTTTCCCTTTTAGTCTATATTCGATGGAGAAAATGAGACTGGTATAAATAAACACACCATAATTGTACAGGGTGACCTGTTGGGTCAAAGTTGGTTCGATATCCTCCATCCGAAAGACGTAGCTAAAGTCAAGGAGCAGCTGTCCTCTTCAGATCTCAGTCCACGTGAACGATTAATAGACGCCAAAAGTAAGTAGAGAATTTACTTTGGTTTATACAGTTCGTAAAGAAGAACGAACGATCCTGTTCGAGACTCGTTACGACGGCTGTCCAATTAATTATGACACCGTTCGACGTTCCTTCAGCCGGTTTCGCGGCGCGTACTGATAAATGTCAGCCGTTCGACGGCGTCTACGCGTCGATAAACATCTTCGAATTAGCACTGGAGGAGATGAGACGCTTGCAAAACGAGGCTCGTCGAACGGCAAGGGTGACAGGACTGGCTACGAGCCGCGGAATCTCCTCGGACACGGTTTAAAGTACTCGCGGTCCCACGATCGTTAATCATCGACACTTGTTGCGACGGAATTAATAAACTCGAGGATACATCGGGGGAACAGCGTTTAGGGTCTACCGACACCTCTTGACGGCTAATTGATCATGCGTCGAAGCTGTTCGTTCTAATGGTAGCGGGCGACAAGAATACTAGTAATTGCGAGATTTGTATTCGACCGACATGCGAGCAACGGTCATCCATCTCGTTCCGTTTGATCGAGCGAGTGCGGTAATTGGTCGGTGTTACGCGGCCACGTTTACCAACGATCCTGTTTATCGTGACTCCTGGATTATTGATTAACGCTCGCTAGGATAAATGGTTTTTACTAGGAAAATCATAGCTTCAGGAGATGATTTCTTAAGTAGGATTTCTTTGAACCGGCGACTTCTCATGTGCGATGAATTTTCCTTCGCTTCATGGACTTCATTCGCGTGACGGATCGAGATAAAAAGGACGATTTGTACAAAGTCCTGAGCCTCGGGTTTCTCCGAGGAAGACACGACCTCGGTTACATATTACACATTACGGTGGAACAAGATTAATTGCATAACCGTGACGCTCGGCCAGAGAAGAGATTGCATACGCGCGCTATTAACGCGCCCACAGCTCGCGTTAACGTCACGTCAATGCCCTAAAGATCGTTTTCTTTTCGTCTGGCGATACTCGAACGCGGACAATCGCGAGAATATAGATGTTTAGACAGCTGTAAAACTTTTATGACTACGCGCCGACCGTTACAGCTCATTCACTCTCTATTGTCGTTTGACGTACCTTGTCACCGATCTAATTTGTGAACGTTGCGTAAACCGGTTCACACGTTGGAATTCGAAACAAAATTAAAAACGTGTTGTAATATTTTCGAGCCAGAGAAAGAGTCTTTGAGAGGTTCTTTGGAGTCTCTCCCGTGAAAGCCGATTCGGTTGCAAGTATGCGGAACGGTCGCGTGCCATTCCTCCCGGGGGACCGTGCGAAAATCTTTTTGATATCGACGCGCCTCGTTGCCGACGCGAAATGGCAAAGCGTTTCTGAAAATTCTGTTCCAATAATTCTGTCGGATGAAACGTAGAATCGCGGGTATGGGAAAGATCGGTCGAATATTGTTTCAGCGATGTTACCGGTGAAAACTGACGTGCCCCAGGGAGTGTCGAGGCTGTGTCCCGGTGCGCGGAGATCGTTTTTCTGCAGGATGAAACGGAAAGTCGACGGGGTTCGTTGCGGCGAGCTGCAAGTGAAAGAAGAGGCCGACACCACCAGCGGGTGCCACCGACGGAAAAAGCAACAGAACGTCGGTGAGTAGTAATTTCTGCCTATACGAACTATATCTTCGAACTATTTTTCACTTTAATGTTCTGGAAAACGTTATTTAAGTACGTCGTGGAGAAATAATGAAGTATTTATCAACTCACGCAAAGTATTATTTCACTTATCCTTGAAGGAGCTATCTCGCTCGAACGCAGATGATGGTATTTAGCAAGTAGCAATTGACTAATCGTGATCATTAAAGAGTCGCGAGGTATCAAAAAGGTGGTTACTCATAATTATTAAGAACTGTAGAACGTAATGCGTAACAACGTACGGAGGCGTTGACTATTCGCATTGGGAACCATGCTACGGAGATAATAACGTATGCGTTATATTTCAAAAGCCTTGTGAAGAACTCCTTGAAACGTAGGAGCTTGTTCGATCGCTTTTCAAGTAGCCTCAGTAAACTGAATTTTATTCGCACAGACTGGAAGTACTGTGTGATTCAGTGTACGGGGTATCTAAAGTCGTGGGCGCCTGCTAAAATCGACCTCGAGGAACAGGAGGGTGACGGGGACGGGGAGGCTTGCAATTTGTCGTGTTTGGTAGCAGTCGGTCGACTTCAGTCAACGATGCCGACGTCCTTGCCTAAAAAACCGCGCCTGAGACCCATAAAGTTCGTCTCGCGGCACGCGATGGACGGAAAATTTCTTTTCATCGACCAAAGGTTAACGTCCCTTCCGTAATCTTTAATACAGAGCCGAATACCGATTTTCCATTGCGAATGACATGAATGAAACGTTCACAGGGCCACGTTAGTATTAGGTTTTCTACCGCAAGAGTTACTAGGTACGAGTATGTACGAATATTATCACCACGATGATATTCCTCATCTGGCGGAATCTCATAAGGCTGCTCTTCAGGCATCCGAGAGTGTCACCACGCAGGTGAGCCAGCCACAATTTACATTGATCGTAACTGCAGTTTTTAGAATTAAACATACTCTTGTGTAAATTCGAGTAATATATAATTTACCCACGGAATTACGTACGAATATTGCAACGAGCTTCGCGTGTTTGTTCAGATATACAGGTTTAGAACCAAAGGCGCGAACTTCGTGAAGCTCCAGTCCGAATGGAAGTCCTTCAGAAACCCGTGGACCAAAGATATCGAATACCTGATAGCTAAGAACTCCGTTACTTCGTAAGTTTCGACGACTCGTATCTCGTAAACGTAATTCGATTAATAAAAAAAAATAATAATAATTGTTCTCAGCTGTGACTCGCGGTCGGTCACGAACAGCGGGAACAGATCTGAGGATTCCAGTGTTCAGAGCAACTACGACTACTTTGCGCAAAGTGAGTGCCACAACAATTTCATCGTATCTTTCTCATGGTTGTAACGATATACAATTTAATCCTCGATTTACACAATACACCGATAAATAATGGTTGCAGTCGGATATTTCTGAAGGAACGCAAAATGATTAGTCATTTCAATGCATTACTTCCGTTGATAAGAATATACATATTCTACCTCCTTCTTCCCTAACGAACCGAGGAAGAGATCACCGTGTTTTCAAGATGTCAGCAAATACGTTTGAAAATTATATGTATAAGAATCGCTTCTCCTTGTGTGAAATAATAAAGTATAAACCTTGTTGCCTATTCCAATTTTTTTTCCGCATGAGTGTTTGTTTCGTATGGAATTCTGCTAGAGGATAATGTTCAGTGTAAATCGAGGGAACACTTTAGCTTCTGACAATCAAACTTAGAATCAATGGGGCTTATAAACACTTTAAGACAATTCGAGTTACGTTATTAATTTCGACTTGGATATCTTGAAAGAAATGATTCGCAGGGATCTCGGTGTCTCGTCAAATCGTCTCTATTCCATGAAAATAATTTCAGGTAATGGTGGATTAGAAAGATTGATCTCAAGTCACGTAGAGGTAAGTAAAATCGGACGACAGATCGCGGAAGAGGTTCTGGATCTTCAAAGGCGCGGTGAAGATTCCTCTTCCGGTAGCAGTCCCGGGTTAGGAGCAGAATCTTCCTTGCTAAATACCGAGGTAGTTATGACTATGAAAATTCCAAAAAGATCCCCTTACGTCAAACGAGAATATTTTTTACCAAGACTTTATGGCAAATACATTTTTAACTGCCGCGGGGATAATCTTATCACGACATTTTGTTATCGTGTCAAGTCACAGATTACGACCACCGCGTCCCCCGAAGGAGTGCAGGACGTGGTGCAGCCAGCCAGGGGCAGCAACAATAGCAGCAGTAATCCCACGCCAACGTACAACCACTTAACAAACAACTTGCAGCTGAACAGCATCGCGAACGACCAAGGTCATAGCTATTACTGTCTCTAAGGAGTCGTTTCTTGGTGTGTAGTGTGATTGCCGGATTTATAAAAAAAAAAAAGAAAGAAAACGAGATCGTTCAGAGAAAAAGTGGACCGGGCGAAAATTCGTGATTCTGTACATTTTCTCTGAGCGAGATCGGGCAAAGGAAGTTCGTTCTATCAGTAACTATCCCGCGAGCTTGTCAGTAATAAATTCATTTACAGAGGTTCGAACATCCAGCAATCAAGCCCGTGACAATAACATTCGTACTTTTTGGCATAACGTTTCAGTAGTACAAGTAGATCTCGCGGTAACACCCTCGCAATCAGACGGAAGACTGTTGCGCATAACATAAAGTCCCCGATTTTGTAGGAGCGTCACCGGACGAGGACGTGATGGACATGATCGGTGGTACGACGATTAACGAGTCGCCGAACCCCGTGCCGTCGGATGGCAATGACGAGGCAGCGATGGCGGTGATAATGAGCCTCCTAGAGGCAGACGCCGGCCTGGGCGGCCCCGTGGACTTTTCCGGCTTACCCTGGCCGCTTCCATAGTACATTTTAATTCTGTCAACCGGCAAGTCGAACTGAACTTTCGGAGTGCCAAACGTTTTCGAGAGCCGAACGTGTGCGTGTACATAATTATACTTTCTATATAAGTGATGATCAAGTTTTCAAACTCGTTTCGTTGTTTCGCGTTGAGTACTCGATCAGTTCTCATCAGCTGTGTACGTTTTAACCGGCGCTACTTTTAGTGTTACCATTTCCTCGGTTCTGTTTCGAACGAAACGAAGACAAGACAGATATCATTGGTGCTGAAACGGTGCTGTCCAGAGGACATGTTAATCATCGGACGTTATTTAAGTTTTATAGTTGTATATCATTTCTGTGATCAACGCTGGAACATCAAACGTACAGAGCAGTTAATTTACTATTAAGTTCGTAGTTTTCTATTCGCTTTTCGATGGAAACGAGGGAGGGAGTCCGATCGAAACGTTTCAGGATGATGTTCCGCGACGAAGTAAGAATCAGACGTATTTCTTTTTTTATATCATCCTAGATCAATGATCCGCGATGTTTTGTACGAGATAATGGCTTCAATTCTATTTCGTCTATTACTCAGCTAGATTTCTTCATTGATTAATTGATCGTTTAGAAGTCAATTTTGAATTCTCGCTCAATATTCGCATGATAACATCAAGCGTCAGTTTTTATTTCATATCGCGATCTATGGATCAACTTCCAGTTATTTTCATCCTTGACGAAAGTTTTCAAAAGACGTGGGTATTTATATGTATATATTCATTGCACACCGACCGTTCATAATACAAGGAGCTACACGCTACACTACTGGAGATATTTATTGGGAATAAAGGAATTTAATTATCTACGTTCAACTCTCAAGTTTGAATTTCGATCTGGCCATAGAATTACTTAAAAGCGACGCGCACAATAAACATGTCCAGTAGCGTGAACGAACACTGTAAATAAATGTATTTGAAACGTTTTACACGGAGTAAATCAGTATAAATGTTTTGTCGTGGCACTCGATGCGAGACCAATCCGGAGAATCGCTCAAGTGTTTTATTAAATGTCGAGGAACGAATGGTACCGCAAGTGTCAGGGTCCAAGTTCCTGCGCGTTGTCTTTTCTTTTTAGCGATAAATCAACGTTGCGTGTAAATAATGTGTATTCTCATAGAAAAACGCGTGATACTAAAGCAAAGCGTACCTAATTAAATTGTAAGGAACCACAGAATCGGTCTCCGTATGCCATACCTATTATTTAAGGGATTTCGCTTGACGAACATTCGCTCGTGAGCCACTCGACATCTTCGAACAGGGGCTGATTTTTCTAGTGATTAACGAACGGTACGTTCGTCAACTGGCATCCCTTTTTCGCAACAATTACACGATTCCATAATCGAATCATATACAGCGATTAGGACCGTCAATCAATGCCATCAGCGTATGCTGTGATGAATTAATTCGAGTATAAGATGTCAGAAACACTGGGTGTCCTGTGACAATACTAAAAGTTCTTTCGTTCGCATTTTGAGGAACGTTTAATTACTTGTAAATATAGCGAGACCAGAGGTTTGATTTAACAAGCCAAGGTAATGTCCTGAACTTTGTTCTATTTTTACGGAATTATTTCACGTTTTCTTTTAACGCGTATTACGTTTGAATTCTGTGCCGAAACGTGGAATTGACGATGCAGCTTGACGAAACGATCGAATAGGTGCAAAAACGATAAGATGCGCATGTTACAAAAGAATAATGTACATAAAGCGTGTATATGTAAATAAATATATATTATCATACAATACAGTATAAATGGTACTTGAAAAATAAATGTTACCGAATAGGGAAATGATGTTTGGTCACACCGTTAAGCATAGATTCTTAAGATGTAATTGTTTTTGTATAAAATTTTTCATTGTAAATTTTCCAGAATAAACAGATTATTGCTTTTACAAAAATAAGGAATGATGAGTAGGATCTTTTAGGATTCTAATAAAAAATGGAGTACCAAATGAATGAGATGTAAAAGATAAATTTATATGTATTTTTTAATAAACATGATTTTCATTTCTCAGTAGTTTCTATCGCAACACGTGCTCTACGAGCGTTATCATTTAATGCAATACAATAATGTTCGATGCATTTGTTTGAAGCATTCTCCGATACTTCACAATATTATTTGGAAATATTTACATACAGTGATTCGCTTTGTCAGATATAAAATTTAATCCTCATACGATCGAGGGGTCGTGGTTTATACTTTGATTTATGAAAATGCAGGATATAGTACAATCTTTGAAGTATCTCAGCGACATGAAAAATATGTACGAATACTACTATAGGAAAATAAAATCAATTTTATATACATATTCACTTGTGTTGAATACCCTTATTTCAACTGTCCGTAAACCTTTCTTTTTTAATCTTAACGTCTCTAAAATCGAACGACGGCTCAACGCCCGACTCCCTGTCCCCCGACTCCTCTTTATTCGATGAACTTTTACTGTGTCTCTTCTTCTTCTTCTCAGGACTACGAAGATTGATATCACTGTTATTCAAATCTGTTTCGTCCATTGTTTTCCTCTTCGTCTTTTTCGATTGTTTAACGTTATTCTCTGCATTTATTATATTATCATCGGCGACGTCATCCACGTGGGTTCGATGTTTTTTCTTAGAATTACTTTTTGATACATTCTCAGTAACTTGGTCTACGTGTGTGTTTTCTTCGTAATCGTCATTCGGTTCCACTTTAACTATAACGTCTTGGAATCCAGGTTCTACTTTAATGTTTCTCGTATCTATCGGAATTGTTCTTGAATGCTTCTTCGATTTCTTCTTAGTTGGAGTGGCTTCCTCGGTTTCTTCTACCGCACGATCGTTCACATCCTCGTCCGCAATATTTTCAGTGCTACTCGTCACTGTTTCCTTCTTAATTTTTATATACCGAGACGTGTGTTCGAAATCTAATCCGTTAGATTTTCTCGAACCTTTCTTTATCGAAGCTTCGTCGACATTCGAGTTTCCAGCTTCACTCTCCGAAACCTCCGATTTCAATTTATCCTTTTTATGTCGTTTTTTCGGAGTCCCTTGCACACTATCGCTTAAATCGTGAACGTCTATGTCGCTAAATAACTCCCTCTTTATTTTCTTCGAACTTTTTCGATTTTTCTCCGTCCTAAAATCTGCTGGAGAGCCATCGACGTCAACGAAACGATTTTGTTCCAAAGAACTTAGCTTTATCTTTGGTTTTCTCTCGACTATGTTTTCTTCTGTAACTTCTACATCATTATCAACTGCACGTGGTTCGAATTTTATATTCCTAATGCTATCTTTAGAATCTACGCTAGACAATGTTTTCGAGATCTTCTTCGATGAACGCTTTATAGAATTTCTGTCATCGTTATCTTCATCTACGCTGCTCTGCGAACTCTGAACTTTGATCTTTGTCTTAATTTCACTTTTTACATCAATCCTTGATTCACTACCGTCGTTATCTATACTACCTCGGGAATTTCGAGCTCTGATCTTTTTTTTAACTTCAATTCCCGAACTAGTAGATTCTTCTGTTTCTTCTGTACTCATTAAGTCACCATTTACCGAATTATACGCAGTCTCCAGCTTTACTCGAGTCGTAGATTCGTTCGGTTCCTTAACTTTCTTATCGTGTTTCTTACTCTTCTTTTTCTTTTTCTCATTTGGTTCGTCGGTATGGTCCACTGGCTCCTCTTGCTCCGATTTTCTTTTCGATTTCTTGCGTTGTACAACTTGTTCTTTTCCTTGGTCGTTGGAGCTTCCTTCGGAATCGGTTGCGAAATGCGTATGCTTCTTAGCACTCTTGTCTGTAACTTTATTAACCGACTTTTCGGCTTTCTTTCTTTTATTGACGCTCTTTGGTGTTAGTCTACAGCCACGTAAATATTCACTGAAACACAGAGGAACTCTTATGAATTTATGAACTCAAAACTGAATAGAAATGAAATCTTAAAGTACACTAACTCTGGATCCAGGACACCACGAATGAATGGTAACTTGCTAGTGAAATCAAGAAGCTTCACTACGCATCGTACTTCTTGACCAATTTCAACATTATCACCTGGCCAATTCTCCTCATCATCCAGTTTCGGTATTGAAACATTGAATGCTTTGTGCACAAGCAGGCCAATGTGATCTAATCCCTTTTTATTTACAATTCCTACAAACCTCTATTCCTTAACATCGAGTAAGCAATTTCAAAACTGTGTTACGGCAAAGTGGTTTACCTCTTAACGTACAGCCTACTTCTGGTCTAAATACATAAAAGTCTGCTTCGATGTCGACATGAATGAAGCAGGTGTCATAAAATACGTCTCCTAATGGTGTCAATAGTTTGGGATTCTTGTATGCCAACAGAAACCCTTGAATACTGAAAAAGTAGGAAGTTGTGACCATAACCACAGAAAGGTGAACTGGTGTCTACATACGAGTTCTTGATAAAACCTGTGTCATTGAACTCGTCTAGGATATATATACGTACTCGTGATCGTAGGAATTCAAATTCGAGCTCAGAATTTCATTCAGCGCGGCATTTAAGTTTGTCATGTGAAACGGGTGCAGGCCAATGTGCTTTCTAAACTTTTCAAAGTAGACACGAGAATCCTCGTCCTCCAGGAGGCCCGTGAGCTCCAAGACGGACCAGGTGATTCCCGTGTAAGTTTTAAATCTCATGTTAATTCGGTAAAAAATGTGAACTGCTCGATCTCCCGGGCAAGTCACACGCGGTGTAAAAACGTGTCTAGATTTCTAGATCGCTTGTTTTGTCACTGCTGTGGATCATCGGCAATGGCAACGTGTGTACCTACACCAACGAACGCCATTCTTACAAGTAGGTGAGAAACGAAGTGCAATTAAAGTCGATACTTCATTTAGGAAACTAAAGACTCTATTAAGAGGATGCAATTCGCGAATCCTTCTTCTGACAATAAAAATATTTTCAGTAAAAGTTCCCATTGAAAATAAAGCTTTTCCAACGCCACCTGTGCTACCTTTAACTACATATACATAAGTATGTTTGTGTTTCTAAAAGTTGTGACCAGAATCCGCATGGAAATGTATTTTTAATTTTCCGCAAGTTCTAATGCCGATTTTATCCATACGTAGGTCTGTTTAATAAAAGAACTTCTACAGTTTATAATAGAAACTCAGCCGATATGAATCTTAACAATCAGTTCAAGACTGCACGTGGTGGTGTGATTAAATTATCCCAGCAGGCTTTGTCGAGGGCAGAGAAACTTTTTGATGATATAAATAAAGAATCTGATAACTATCAAGAAACACATAAAACTGATGATAAGACTGAAGCATCTGTAAACTCTATGAGTTTGACAGATGAACTCCCATTTGGTTTTGCTACTGCCAGTGGCAGTCTACTTAAAGTATCTAACGAAAGTTTAAAAAAAGCATATAAAACTTATAATGAAGTATCTAAAGAAACCGATGAGGGTACACATAAAGTAAAAGATAGAGTTGGTACACCTCAATCAATTGTAAATCAAAAGACATCCACAGTTATCAAGAATAAAAATGAACTTTCATTTGGTTTTGCTACTGCCAGTGGCAGTCCGATCAAGATATCTACCAACAGTTTAAAAAAGGCATATAAAACTTATAATGAAGTATCTACAGAAATTGACGAGGGAACACATAAAGCCAAAGATAGAGTTGCTACACCGCAACCAGTTGTAAATCAACAGTCGTCCACAGTTCCCAAAAATAAAAAAGAATTTTCATTTGCTTTTGCTACTGCCAGCGGCAGTCCAATCAAGGTATCTGACAGAAGTTTAAAAAAGGCATATAAAACTTATGATGAAGTATCTACAGAAATTGATGAAGGAACACATAAAGCCAAAGATAGAGTTGCTACACCTCAACCAGTTGTAAATCAACAATCGTCCATAGTTCCCAAGAGTAAAAACGAATTTTCATTTGCTTTTGCTACTGCCAGCGGTAGTCCAATCAAGATATCTGATGAAAGTTTAAAAAAAGCATATAAAACTTATGATGAAGTATCTACAGAAACTGATGAGGGAATACATAAAGCTAAAGAGAGAGTCAATACACCTCAACCACTTAGAAATCAAAAAACATTCACAGTTACCAAGAGTGAAAATGAATTCTCGTTTGGTTCTGCTACTGCCCTGGACGAAGTTTCACGAAATCTTGGAGGTGGTCTTGCATTGTTTAAACCGTTACAAAAACGAAAAATCGATCCTGATAATCAAGTTACATTAAATATAAGGACGAGACAAAATCAGTTCAAGAAACTACGGTTTAGCAATGAATACCCAATTCCTGTAATTGTCTGTGACAACTCGAGAGAAATTTTGAAAGAGGGAGAGAATCAATGCAACAATACCAAAGATTGTAATCGTAGGACAAACAATAATGAAGTAGTTGATAGCTGGTTAATAACACATGAAGTTGAAGCTAGTACCAGTGCACTCTTAGATGATGAAGAAAATTCAGATGGACAGTGGGTGAAACCCAAAGAAATAGTAGAAAATGAAAATACTGACGTTGTTCCATGCAGTCCTATAATGGGAAGTCAGCTTAAATCTCATAGAAGAAAAAATAGAGGAAGGAAGAGAGTTCAAAATAAAGAGAACTCTATATGTACAGACGAAGGGAAATCAAATAATGATATGACAAAGGAGACAAATAAGGAAAATGAATACTCAACAGAGAAACAAGACTTAACACAACATAAAAATCATTGTGAAACTTCGGATTCTATTGAATTTGGTGATTCACCATTATTGATGGAGTTTATAAATCAATCTATAACTATATCAGCAAGACGTTCGGATCTTGCTTTAGAACAAGATATGAAAATCAAATCAAAACGGATAAACAAGCCCAAGCCAACGATCAGTAAATTATATTTCCATAAGCAAATTAATTCTAAGAATCGTATTAGCTGGCATGAGCTCAGTGAAGGAAACGAACCCGTTCCATGCTCATACGACGAGCTTATTGAACGAAAATTACCGTCTGAAATTTTCGATCTAACAGCTGATAACGCAATAGAATACAAGTTTGCATGTGGAGAGTTTTATGGGCAAGATTTCGTGCAAAACAATGTTGATGGTATCAAAATGGAAGACGATGCGTTACTAATTGTGGACGAGAACGGCTATGCAGGGATAACAGAAATCAAGAGAGCCTTCCTCGCGAGTCCAGGCGTGGACCCGAACTTAGTTCCTACTGGATGGGTAGAAAATCATTATAAGTGGATTGTATGGAAATTGGCGTCTATGGACCGAATGAAATTTGGTTCTGTCGTATTACCAAGGGGATTGACTCCAAACCAAGTAATGATGCAGCTAAAATATCGTTACTATCGGGAAATCGATAGATTTCAAAGACCAGCTTTGAGAAGAATCTTGGAGAAAGATGATGCTTCGACCAAACGAATGGTCTTATGCGTCTCGTCGATTACAGAACGTGATGATCGATCCATAAAGTTAATACTGACAGATGGATGGTACAGTGTTCAAGCTTCGATCGATTTAGCAATGATGAGGCACATAGCATCCGGTAAAGTAAAAGAAGGTACAAAACTATTAATGTACGGCTCCGTACTACAAAACTGCGATCAAGGCTTCGCACCATTGGAAGTTCCAGACAGTGTATGTTTAAAAATACATACTAATTCGACGAGAAGAGCTAAATGGAATATGAAACTGGGCTATGTAGTACCCTCCGGGCCATTTGATATTAAACTAAACACGATTGACATAGCCGGTGGATTAATTGGAAAAATTAAAGTAACTGTCGTAAGAGTGTATCCGATGTTATATCACGAGAAAATATCGTCGAACGAATCTATTTATCGAAACGACAGATGCGAAGAAAAAGCTAATAATGCTTACGAGAAGAAGCGTGCTGCGATGATAGACTCATTTCACGAGAAGTATTTTCACGCTGGAGAAAGTAAAATTGATTCGCAAGCAGATAGTATAGAGTTAGCAGCATACGAGTGGAAGAAGAGTCGCGAGAGACTGTCTAAAGAGGAGTTCTATTCGAAACAAGAGTTCGAACAAGTTCAAAATGACTGTCACAAAAAGGAGGAACAATTCCGTATGAAGTTGGAATCTCGTTTACAGGAAAGTTTGCCTCCACCGCGACAAGTAACGCCCGTTTTAAAAGTCCGTGTTGTCGAGGACGAGACCATTGCCGATCTGCAGATCTGGTCTCCCAGCGAAGAGGTGCTGGACATTTTAAAAGAAGGAACTCACGTTTCAGTGAGTAACTTGATGCCCGCGAAGAGAAGGTACTATTTTTTTTATATTTCCCATCTGGTTCTAATCGTCATTCAATGTTACTCATTGTAATAGAAGTACCGAGCTGCAATTGACTGCAAATCGGGGCTCGTCGTTCAAACAGATAGACATTCCCAATGTGAATTTCTTTCAAAGAACATGTACACTGTTAGGCGATATAGATAAATCACATTTCGCACCAGCGTATGGAGAATTTGACACGATAGGTGTCATCGTTTCTATTGGAACCGAACCCTATGTAAGTAATTCTTATGAATACGTATAATTGAGATGCAAGCACCGCTCTAATTGTTTATCTTAATTCTACAGGGTTTTAAAAATTTCGAAGCTGTGCATTTGGCATGCCCGCGATCGGATTCGCAATCTTCGTACTTATCGATATTATTTTGGCAAGGAATATCTTCTTTCGGGTACGCGGAAGTGCTAAGCGTGGGCAAATTAGTCGCTTGTACTAATTTAGAGTGGCGACGTGTTACTCCATGGAGTATACCTGTATCATACTGTACCGAACGAACCACTTTTACGGGCAATCCCCGACCGAACTACCTCCAACAACCCTTCCAAGATTTAAAACGTTCAATAATGGTAAATAAAGTACTAAATAATAAATGGTTCGTATAATATATCACGCCAATAATGATTATATTTTTAAAGGACATCGACTCGTACGTAAGTACTTGTGCGGCAGAGATTTTGGAAGAAGTAAAACAGAAGAGACCACCGAGTAGACTATCGGATGGAAATAATTTCAATAGATCTCCGTTGAACGATAGTGTTAAACGCTTCACGAATCAGGTGTCGCAAGACTTTGCAGAGCGAAGCTTATTGAGTGATCGACCTGCAAAGTCTCCTGCTATACAAAAACGACTTGAAAGATTAAGGAATAGCGATGAAGCGCCTGGTTTATCTCCAATAGTGATTACTAGCTCCAAGCGAGTTTCGTTAGATTTCAAGTCTCCTTTACGGTCGTCGAGTGACAATCAGACAAAGACTCGAAAGTCGCTCGGCGCAAGGTTTACATAAGATTCTAATTGTAAGTGATAAGTTTAATTATTTTTAATTAAATTCTAATTGTAAGTGATAAGCTGGTTACTACTTTTTGTATAATAAAGTTAAATATTGTGAGTTTATAAAATATCCAACTATGATGAAATATATATATATTTTTTCTAAATGAGCGATTCAATTATCCTCCAAGACAAGTTTCGTACCTACTGTCAGAGAGAAAAATCTACTATTCTTTCTTACATTGACTGTAGGGTGCACCTTTGGGTGCACCACCAGGGGTCACCCTTAGAGCTTGCTTCCCCCTTCCGTCTTTGAAATTTCACCCTCTTACCCACACTCATGCACCGTCCTTCAGGTTCATGTTCATGATCTTTATTGTCCCTCCCTGTTACTATATATACATGTGTACATACATCTGTCAAAGTTTATTTACGTTTTCCTCTAACCTTCGGAATGCATAATAATAAAAAGAATAAGTATAGTTATCATATTTTCTCATAGTAGAATTAATTATTTGTAGATAGAAACGCACAATAATGTCGTAATAACGACGCAGTTTTCGTTTACTGTTTTTTTTAATATTTCCTATTCTTAGCTTTAAAGTTACTTAAAGAAATAATGTATAAATACATGTAAAACAGATTTACAAATAAGAATAATGGCATTTTCATTTCGCATCGGTACTAAATGGTGCCACGATTTCCCAAAATTGGCTAAAGAATCTGGATTTTATTTCAATATGCATAGATCCAGAGTCCGAGTCGATTGGAATCGTATAAGTACGTAATTCTGTGTCTCCTTTGAAGCTGTGTACATGAATGATAGATTTAATTAATTCTTGTACTTTCAGCTAACATAGATATCGATCGAATCATAAGAGACAGAGATTTTCATTCCATCGACGACAATATAAATAACGTGATCGATTATTGTTTAGAGAGTGAATACGATGTCAAAATCTTAGATCCTAATTTCGTGAAACTATTCCGTCTTGCACAACTGGCAGTCGAATATTTATTATATTGTAAGCAGTATCTAGATCATAGCGTAGTCATATTAAAGGATGAGCTCAGATTTAAAATAGAAGAAAACGTTAAATTGAAAAAGGAGATAACTACCTTGGAAGGGGTAGTGAAGCACATGAAGGAGAAGATGAAAGAAAGAAGTAAATTGTTAGAGACTAAGTTTGGAGATTGTAACGGTGAAATCTATAAAGTAATTAAACTGTAATATACTGTTGCTTAGAGTTTCCTTTTCAACTCTAAATTGTACGTTATTTCTATTTCTTCTTCTAGTGCCCGCATTGTCCAAAGACTTTTATATCTCCTACGTTTGTCAATGCTCACATTATACGCCGTCATGCATATGTCACGGATCTGTATGTGCCACCCTCCCCTGTGCACGATCATTATAGAACTGAGACTGAACGATTAAACAACGAAATAAAGAATCTCAAGGAGAGATTGAACGAGACGGAAAGAGTGATCAGGAACGAGTCTGAGAAAGTTGAAAAGAAAACGTTGGACTATGATGGGAGGCAGGGTGAAAATGAAATTGATAATTCTAGGCAAGTTAACAATAAATCAGAAAATCATGCGGAATACAAAGGGTATCAGGAAGAAATCAAGAATTTGAGGAGTATGCTTTATGATGAAATTCATGTATGTATAAGGAACGCTTTCTTCTTCAATTAAGTATCGAGACTAATGATACATGAATATCTCTATAGAATTTAAGACAGAAAGAGAAGATTATGCATGACCGTCCCCCTGAATCAAGCGTACAAACGTTGATAAGTCAACAAGAAAGAGAATTCCAAAAATTGAAGGATCAACTGTTTGAAAAGGTGAGTGGAATTATCTGTACATGAAATGGGTATTTATCCTCTATTTTACAGCTCACCCCAGACATAGAGAGTGTGAACGCGAAGTTGCATGCTCAGGAAAATTATTGGATGTCGAAGTTGGAACATTTGGAAAAGCAACATTATAAAGATGTTGAGAGACTTACTACGGAATTGAAATTGACGCAACGAACAGCCGACGATATGAGAGCGAAATACGAAGCGAAAGTTAGCGATTTAGAACGTCAAACTGCGGATCAATCGAAAATTTTAATCGAACAAAGCAAACAATTGCATTCTCTATCGCACGAAATGAATGTTTCCCAATTAAATGAAAGGAATAAAAGTTTCGAAGATAATTCTCAGGAGAAATATGGTCGATCCGGAAAAGAGTCTGATCCAAAAACTTCTAAAGAAGAGGATTGTATAGATGTAAAGGTTGAACATATTAACGATGTTACTAGTACGGCATATATTACGGGAAGCTCGAATTTATCAAATAACGTGTTCCCATTAACAACGGGAGATCAATTAAAAACTATACACGTATCGAATTCAAAGGGTAAATCTAATAGTGCAAATAAAAAGAACGCGAAGAACCCACAATTTGAACGTAAGACCAGCGTTAAGGAAGCTTTGGAATATTATAGTTCGAGCGATGTAACAGATTCGGACTCAGTATCGGAGAAAGAAAAAAACTACATTTACACGAAGCACAATAACTCGACTGTGAAAACTGATTTAAATGAATCTAATAGTAAACTAGATGATACCTATAATACGAACGAATTTAATGAGTTCGTGTCCGATATAAAAAATACTAAAAATACGGAGTCTTTAGAAAACAATCTCATTCTCTCGAATTTAGAATCATCTGTTTCTGATTCGGACACCGAAAGTAAAACGAGTTCGCCGCCTCGGTTCAGGGCGATTAAGTCAATAGATCGTAATTTGTATTATAAAAAGTTACGAGCCAGTTTAATCGAAGCGTTCGAACAGAAATTGAGAGATCTCGGAATAGATCCCGAGTGGCAGGGAATACCGAGAGCAACTTTTAAGCAAAAAATAGATATTTTAAAACATCATCACAAACTAGCTGCAAGAGTAAGTACAAAGACGTAGTACGCTGTTTTATTACATGCGATTCTGTAACGCGATTTAACTAATTCTTTTCAGAAATCGCCGAGATATCATCAGATTAAATTAAAAATTATTGAGGATGTTCTCAATAAAATATCTCAAAAAGGAAAGCCAGTAGGAGACACTAAAGAGTCAAAGCGATCTCCTTCACATAGAATAACGAACGTGAAACCAACGGCGGTGAAAGAATACGATCAAAAGAGATCTGGTAATTTCTATTTTTCATATCTCAATGATATTTCTTTAAAAAACGATTACAATATGGAAATTTTTAATTCCAGACAATTACATTTCTAAGTCCCAAGCTATAATATCCAATAAGTTCCATTCTACACCTGAGCGTAGTCGCTCTACTAAAGGTTCGTTCGAAAATGAGTTGCCTATAAAAGTTACAAAGTCCGAGGGTTACAAAAGGATAGATAGATTATTGCAAGTTTCTTCAAATTCGACCAAATACTCAGACGATATGCAAAGCACGACGAACTCTCAAGAGTATTCGACAAGAAGGAACTCCTTGAACACAATGAAATCTTTGCTTGACTCTGATATATTTAAAGCAACACCGAATACTAGACATGTTACAAGTAACAAATCTATTCAAAACACAATTGAAAACTCGAGTTCGCAACTGGAGGTACAGAATATTTACGTGTCTCCAAAGCACAATAAAAGTGTTTTAAAATCTACATCTGGTTCAGCGAGTAGTTTAACAAAGAAAAAAGTTATTTTCGATTTGACAAATGAAAAGATTAAGGATTTATCTTCGTCAGACGATGATATAAAGAAAGATGAATTAAATGAAAGTAATTGGAATAATTCCAGGTAAATTTTTAATGTTCTATAGGAAAAATAATTGATACATATTACAGTCTCATTTTACTCTCATAATTCGTTTAGCATTTCTGACGAACGGAAACTAGTATCCCAGTCGGAAGATTATAAGAGTCCGAGTAATATAATATTAAAAACTACGCAAAGCGATAAGATCGCGGAATTGTCACGAAAATTGGAAGCACAGGTAAGACGAAGCGTACAATTTATTTGCAATTCAGTACTGCACAATGACTATTTCGTTTCAGCTAAATACAGTGAGACAAAGACCGGCAGGATCGGTTGAAACTATTTTTACCTCGAAGTACATGCAAAATAAAGAAAATCAGAACAAAATGAATGAAGAAGCAAATTCTACTAGTCTCAGTTCCTTTTTAGACAGTCAATTGCAAGTGACCGCATCGAATTCGAGAAAGACGAACGATTCTGTACCACAACCGGCAGCACGTAATTTAAAAAACAAAATGCCTGAACCATTACGGGCAGAATCCATATCGGAAGTATCAGATTTCGACTCTGACATAGATAAGATATTAAAATTGTAACAATCATAGTGGACTTCCAGTCTGACATTGGAATTACTTGTAATAATTTCTCTATTTATTATAATCTAGTCTCGAAGACCAAAGGAACAATTATTGTACGATGCAGTCACTATTTTATATGTTTTTATTTATATTTGTAAAACAAAAAATATGTTTTGTACCAATAAATTATATTAAAGGAAATCTTATGTCTCTTTTATGTGTCTTGGAGTCACGGAAACGTAAAAATAACGCGTCGGTAGATGCTTGAGTACCAAGCATCGAAATGATTAGAAAATTTTGCGAAATGGAACGAGTCTCCAAGCTGAAACGCTTGTAACTCTCTTAATAAAAAACTAACTGAATAAACTATTAATATGCTGAACGAGTAATATTAGTATCGCTATGTCATGCTATCGAATAATACGGTGGTTATGTTTCGGATACACTATCAAAGAATGATTTACAGTTACCGTATAAAGTGGTCACGTTTCTGTTCATTATTTATTATAAAATAATAACGCGTAACAATTATTTATTGATCGATTCAAGGTTTTTACGTATACTTAATGTTAATTTAAAACGATGTCAATGTGCAACGTATTCTGTTTGGTTTGTGACATAAATCTTGAAGCTTCGTCTTCTGTAAACGTATTTTCGACATCGTTCCCTCGCCAAGGCGAACTGCTGGCGAATTTTGTCTCGAAAGTGCTTCACATAACAATCTCCGAACCGCAGAATCCTTACATTTGTTCACAATGTTACAATCTGTTCGAAATGTTAGAGCAGGCTCAGAAGACTGTGCTGAGTATACGTTGCGAGATTCTGAAGATCCATCGGGCCACTGAGAGGCGAAAAAGTACAAACGTAGCTTTAGAAGAAAAGAAATTAAACGATGCTGATGAGAACTCGAAAGTCAGAACAACGTTACAAACTACTCCGATTGAGGAGATGATACAGCAGCAATGTATTCACGATAATACAGTGGCTAGTGCTTCGCAAGGTGGGGTATTTAAATGAGTAAATCTATATAAAATTTGTTTCTAAATTAACTAACGCTTTCTTTGTACCTTCTCAGCAAATCCTTATACATTAAACGTGCACGTGGACGAACGGAGTTTTGTATCACTGATAGATTCTAGAACGAGTGATTCGAAGAACTCTATGAAATCAGATCCCATATTCTCTGAGAACGGATTACAAACTATTGATCTCAAATGGAAAGAAGCAGACAAAAATGTTACAGAGGTGGAAGAGAATACGGAGAACACAGCAGGTAACACTTTTTCGGTCATCCATTTATTTATCAATTAAGTTCTTTATTAATCGAATGATGAAAATGTGCAGTGACAAAAGTTGATGAAACGACTTTGAACTCAGGGAAGTTATCGAGGTACGAGGTGAAACAGTTAAGGTATTCTTGTCCTACTTGTGGCAAGAGATGGAAGACCTCGGCTGAATTGAAGACACACATAAAAACTCATTCGACATTGAGGCCATATATGTGTGAAAAATGTGGCCAAGCGTACAAGCACAAACACGCACTAGAAATACACGTTGGTATGCATAACGGAATAAATCCGTTTCAATGTAATTTTTGTAACAAGTGCTTCACACAGAAAGGAGCTCTTATGAGACACTTGCCAATGCATACCGGCGAAATGCCTTATCAGTGTGAGTTATGCGGTAAAAGGTTCGTCCATCACACGTCTTACAATATGCACAGATTATCGCACAGCGGGAAAAAGTCTTACAAGTGTCACGTAAGTAATAAACCAGATGCAAACGTCTATCAAGTTTATGCCGTACGTTTAAGTAACTCCATTTTAGGTATGCGATCTATCATTATTTTCAACGTCGCATTTAAAGAGACATATGCGAGTGCACACTGGCGAAAGACCTTATAGTTGCACGGTGTGCGGGAAACGTTTCGCGGAACGATATAATTTATTGGCTCACCAGAAGATTCACGATCCGCTCGAAGGTAAAACGAAAAAGGCCAAAGAAACGCTATACCAGTGCAATCATTGCAATCTGGTGTTCGACCAGAAGGAGAATTTAAATGATCATATGAAACATCATTCAAATCTGAATAAGTCCGATCAGCAAGAATCAGAGAAGTTTCAAGACGAGGAAGATCGTCGATTATCTAAAAAGATCAGCCCCGAGCATAATGTACTGCAGGAAGCATGGATTCAAATGAATCGAGCTAAAGTGGATCTTATTGACAATCAAACGCGATTCGTACTTTTACAGAATCCTTTACCAGAAATCGATGAGAACTCATTTGCAGTCACGTTCAGTGATCAGAAGGTATCGTTGGCAAGTACAAGTTATAATACAAATTTACAAGTAATGATAGAACCGTCGGATACATCGATTTTAACCGGCAATCTTCCTTCCATCGATAAAATGCATTGATGTATACTCTAGTTTTTTAAATGCGGAGAGTGTTTTACAAATTATATTTTATTATGCAGATACTTATAAAGAATTACCAGTCGACTGTGCACAAATAAGTACAGGAATTGATTGCATGACTCTTTTTATACGTGCATAAATATTTTTGTGTCAAGTGAGAGATTCTTGTATCGAAGTATTTTTTAACGAGATGTGTTCATTCGTGTAGGATTATTTAATACGTAACAAATAAATCGTTGTCAATAAAGTATATCTAATAATTTTTACCTCGCGCTTAATTAATATGATCGATCATTGTTTCCTCCACTTGGCTAGGCATTAAGTCTTTCCAAGAAGTAACACCATAATTTCTTAGAAGGGTTCTTCTTTGCAATACTGAACTTGACAAAGATCTAAACAGTTTATTTCATTGTTACGGAAGATACGAAACACGTAGGATACGAAATAGGAAGCTTAAGACGTACTGTTTTATCTCGTTAACGATGGGCTCGATCATTGCCGGAATAGCAACTTCAGAAAAGTGATTAAGCTCAGACAAAAATTTCGGTTTCTCCTCGCAAAAATTGGTATATACATTAAAGATAAAATTAATTAATTTGTTATACGCTCGAATATATTCATCCGTCAGTACCTAGGCATATGGAGAATGACAAGCTACTCTCGCTAAACGACTCACTGAACATTTTCTTAAACACGTTACCACCAGAGAAAAGAATCCAGGGTTATTCATGTGCTGATCTAAGTAAATCTTTCTCGATTTCAGTATTAATTCCGTATAGTAGTTTTTCATATGTTCCGGTTTCTTTATTTCTAATGGCTTTAAGGATTATAAATACAATATTAAGAATCGCTTCGACTTTAGCAAAAGAATAAGAACGAATTTCTGATTACAAACTTTTCTCTCCACGAACACTTCGTCGCTGGATCCGGAATCGCTTTGATCCGTAGGCGAAGTTATTCCTCCTAGTATTAACGTATTACGACGTTGTAGAAGTTTTGCCTGATGCCGTTTACGTTTCACTTCTGCATCTTCGATCACGATATTCGAATATTCGTCTAAGATTACCTGTGAACAGATTCTATTGTCTTCAACTGAAAATTGACATCAATTGTATCAATGTACTCTCAGTTCTTTGTGCTCGTTTAATAGCTCGTCGTAAAATTTTATCGGTTGTGACTCTATCTCTTCCTGGAACTTGATGTGCCCTACATTCTTCTTATGCAACACGCTTCTGTCCCTGAATATATCTTCGTCAACGTACGAATTACTGTCGTATATATTTGCAACTAGATCTACGTCTGCTATTCTAATTTTGTTAGGCAGTTTAAGATTCTGTACAGTCTAGAATGAAGAGTAGACGATAGTAGATATGTTTCTACGATCATTAAAGTAACAATCGTACGCGTACATCGTTCACAATTCCTTTAATAAATTTTAGGTCACTTTCTGTAACTGCGGTCTCTTTAGATGCTATATTTTCTTTACTATACTTGGTATACATCTGGATGTCGAACTTCTCTTGTATCCACTCGCTGTGAACTTCTTCGCTCTTCGTTAGTACAAGAACCGGTTTACTATTGGAATAACGCATGGTCAACTGTATGGTTGCGTGCAGATCCGTTTGAGTGATACCAATTTTCTTCTCTAATTTCAGCAAAGCGATTTCGCTGCAATCTGCGAAACGAAGAACGTAGCGATCGAAGGTCTTACTTGCTAACAGAATTTAACAAATCTGACTAACGGAATCCATAACTGTGTCCTAATTCTTCTTGAATAGCTAGGAACTCTCCGCGGCGGGACATATCATTGAACTTTTCTCTATCCACGAATATATATGATTGACTTTCGCTTTCGTTACTCTCTCCCTTTTTCGTCGTGTACCATCGGCAATATACTACCTAAGTTCAAGTCATTTCTTTTACCAAATACATCGATCGAAACCCGACGAGAAGTATTACTTTCTTTAATAACGTTCGAACAATGTGAAGAGCCAAAGACAATTTCTGCACTGCGCTCGGACCTGTTAGTATTATCAACGGCGGGCTTCCTTCGTCATACGGTGTAACATGTAAATCAATCTTCGGAGTGCTTAACTGCTCCAAAAGCGTCAATTTTGTTACGGTACGAGCGGCAGCTAAATTCACCGGTGAGGCGAACGAAGTTACAGCTGCTATCTATTTAAACCGATTCCTCAATCCACCGAATCATCGAGTCTCAATAAAGATAGAAACATACTTTCTCTGCGCTAGTCACTTCGACCCCGTCGATGCGTTGTATACTTGGAATAGAGAATAGTATCACGGCTTTATAATTGGGCCACCTCGTGCAACCATTACCTCGAAGATCCATTTCTTGGATCAGCCCTTTGCAGTTTTGCAATTCCAATAAATCGTCGACCTTATTGAACTTCAAATCTATCACGCGCAAACTGTACGCGTCCTATTTTTAAGGATTTAATTAACAACCATGTTTCAAGTGTTTCGATTGATGTTTTACCTTGAGAAATTCTAAAGTAGTCAACTTGTTGTACCCTAAGTATATTTTTCGTAAATCTGATAGACTGCTTATGCCGTACCCAGGCATAGCTGACTTGTAAGTCAATATGCAATTGCCTTCTAGATTTAGCTCCTGGATATTTAGCTTATCCAAATTTTCAATACGCTCGATCAAATTATACGACAAATTTAAATACTTCAGATACCTGAGGACGTAATGCACGGCATGAAATCATCTGTTCCCGATGACGACTGTGCGGGAAAAAGTACTCACTTCAAATTTTGCAAGCCAGAAATGATCTCGATCGCGTTATGTGACAAGTCCAAATGCACGATACTCCAGAATTCGCTGATATCACGCATTTTTGATATGTAATTGAAGGATAAATTTACGTACGTCAAATACCAAGGAGGTGAAAAATCGAGAATAATGTTTATCCTATTATGCGACGCGTTTAAAAACATTAAGTAGGGAATGCCTTTCAGTGGTAGTAAAGTCGAAATATGATTGTATGCGAGATCGATGTATTGCAAGTAACGATGATATCTTAACATCACAATATGCGAGAGCGACTGTTAAAGAAATTATTCCTACTATCTGTTTCTTATAGAAGGCATTATATTTCTAATAGAGGACCAAGTACCATGTCTCTCATAACGCATTTGCTTAATACGTAGAGACCATTCTCGGGGGATTTGGTAAGATACGATTTGCTAACTCCTATCAGCCTGTCAGTGAGAAATCCGCAGAATTCTAAATCGTCAAACGTTACATCGCACAGTTCTCTCAGCTTTACGACGGGCGCTTTATCATCTTCCCACAAATCGATGTCCAGAATAAAACTATTCCAATTACTACCAGTTGCGCACTGGATTACTTTTTGATCTGCTGAGAACGGCACTTGATCGAGCAACGTGAACGAAAGATCGGACTACAAAAAGGAAAACTCTGTTGCAATTAGAGCATTTGATTTACGATCGAATAAGACTTACAGTTGTAGACGATTCAGGGGTAGTCGATACCGATTCGTTTGACAAAACTTCGTACGGTACATATCTGTCTCCTATATCGTCCCAACTCATCTGGCTGTGCGACAATAAATCTGAGTCGTCGTCGTCAATTAATTTAACATCATCTTTGTGTAACGTGTGTTCCTCCGGAACGGAAATTTTACCAATCATATTTCGTGCAAGCAACGTTTCACGCGAAGAAAATAAGTAGGACTGTAATATTCGGATTGTACGATATATTCTTTGTATCGGCATTATTTTTTAATAATAAACGATCAAGAACATGATCTTACTTTCCCTTGGTCCATATTTAAACAGTTACTTCCCATTACATGAAACTATTCGTATAATTATCGTTTGTACAAAACCTTTCATACAATCAACTTTATTTCTATTGTTTCTTAACAATTGAATACATATGGGTGTATCAAAATACAAAATTACGTTTTATAAGAATAGAACAGAATGCTTATGAATCGGTAGCTAAAATTTTTAAAGCTTCATTTGTAAAACGATAATGATGCCACTCTTCCTCTTCCGTTATATCAATTGCTCCTTTACTTTTATAGAAATCTCTTGCAGGATTCCATTTAAGGACAGAGAAATCTAGTCTACAACAACTGTTATCTACCGCTTCCTATACAAATGATACAATAATTATAAGTACATATAATTCCTACGAATGTAAATTTTATAGTTTTTGGGCAACATACTTTGGCAACAGCTCTTAATAATTTACTGCCTACGTGTTCCCTTCGATTGTTAGGTGTAACATACAAATCTTCCAAGTACATGGCTTTACCGCCCCACGTCGAGTATGTGTAATATGAAATTGCATACCCTACCACGTTTCTATCTATCTCTGCTACGTAGCATATGAACAAAGGATGATCTGTGTCAAATCCATCTTTTTCTAAAACTATGAACAATCTTCTTCAATGAAAGCCAATTTATCCCCAACGTTGAATTCCTACCTTCGGAATTAATTTTTGGACCATCCGGCATACGCTCGAAATCAGCTAATTCCTTAAAGAACGCGAAAACGATTTAAAGAAAAGGTTTTTGCAATTTTCAGCAAAGCGGAAATGTTATATTAATTTACTAATAATTTTTATTTAGAACTACCTGGATCAAGCTTCTGATAGCTTTACAATCTTCGCGTTTTGCTTTGCGTATTATTACCATTATCACTTCGTCCTAGTTAACTTATTTAAAGCGTGCTTTAATAAACGCTGTTATAAAATCTGAAGCATTTCGACGAGAGCGCCGCGACTTCCTGTCCGACGCGACAACCATTTCCTGAAGCTTCTGCGCTCGGCGTGTTTGCTTAGCCATTTACGTTCAGTGTTCAGCGTTGATCGTGTTGGTCACTCGTGATCTCTTATTGTGATCGTTGCGTATCGTAATTTCGTTGCGTATTATCGCGTATGTGCTGACGTTACGGGGAAAACTCGCGTACGATCGAGATCCGTGATCTCTCCTTGTGTATTTCTCGCGTCGAGAAACATAGCAGAGAAAGACAGAAACAGAGCGATCATAGAGAATGTCCGAAATTGACGCAAAAGTGAACATGTCGCTTGGTAAGTGGCCAGAGTCTCGAACGTCTAGCAGTTTTGCCGATAATCCTGGGTGAGCGTACGGCTACTACTGTTTCTTCTTTTGCACGAATTCCGAATGGCGAGAATCTTACAGCGTAGATGTCCAATATTTCTTTTCGTTCGTTTATAAACCGCCCGAGGTATGGTAAATAGATCTTGGAAATGAATGATCAGCGGATCAGCGAGCTTTCGATGCACAATCATTCCGTCTCCCCGTCTCTTAATCGTTGCGGAATCAAAACATGGGCAATGCGATCGCTTTCGAGTCGACGTTTAACTCGCAAGAGAAAACCAGTGCGCTGTCCTTTCGAATCGCTGGAAGACGTTCTCGCAATTTCTGACGCTCGAATAGAACAAAGTACTTGCATACGCATTTCGGATCCTTATAAAAGAGCTTCGATTCTCGGCCGTGTACACGCAATAGGAACGCGATAAATCCGGATTTCTACTGAACGGAAAGGATAACGAGAAGGAAGAGAAATACAAACGCCACGGAGGACTATGCGTCCTGCGAGAAAAAGAGTGCTACGATTTACGTACGATCGATGGAGAGAAGCATCGTATCGTTCTAACGATAGCAGGACGATTGTCTAAATGTGAAAATTGACCAACACGAAGACGAGACTCTCTTGGATAATATAACGCAGACGAAGTGTTGTGTGACTCACGCCTCACGAAAAGGAGTCAACTTTCCATTGCGTGGGATACATACGTTTGCGTAACTTTAGTAGTATTTTTATCTCTGCTATCATGTTCCTCGAGTTTCTGTTCGTTTGCCTGATGGACTTGGAACGCTGCACGCTATACGAGATAAAAAAAATATCCCAGGAATTTTTAAATCGATTTTATTTTCAACGCATTCTATGACTCGAACGTAAAACATGCGACGTAAAACGTTTCGACTACGAACGAAAATTATGCTAAAGTATATCGCAAACGTACGATTTAACATGTTCGATGTAAACGTATAAATAAACAAACGCTCCGCGATGCATAAAATCAATTGTCGAATCGTAAGAAATATTTCATTTAACGAGACATAGAAAAAATAAAAGACTACAAGAGGATTTAATGTTTCCAATAAATCAGTTAGATATTTATTGGATTGGAAAAATATGGACCCATGCACCTCGACGGAAGGATATCTTAAATGTAACTGCATCGCTGCGACCGCCTGTTCAGTTATTTTTTTCTAAGTACTAGTACAAACGGCCTATTTCTTTTTCTATTAATTAACGATGATAAAGGCTGACGGAATCGCATTTTTAATGAAGAGGAGAACAATTCAGCCGAAGGAGAAGTTAGATATCGAACGTACGAAGAACAATTAATGTGCAAGGAAATGCACTTGAGATCTATGTATTGAAAGATAAATACTATCTGAAGATTACATTGAGATTAAGAAGAAAGCAGGGAGTACGTAAAAGGAGATTACGAAGTATATATATGTGAACAAAGGAGATGTTGGATGTACGAAGAGAATTTACGAAGAAGACTCTAAAGAGTACAATACACGTAGAGATATTAACAAAATTAGCTGGAGGATCATTTTTTTTCTAAAGACGTTGAGTTGCATTTGTAGAGTAAGGTGTCACAAATTCTTTCGCAGAAGTATAGTATCTCAGTATTTTTGTCGTTTTTAATTTAAAGTAATATACTTGAGACTTTTTTATTACGATTCTTTTTGTGTTAGACATTATGACTATGAAACTAGCAGCAACATTCGATGTGTCTTTAATTGTATTTAAAAATGAAATTATTTTGAAAATAATAGATATATATTAGAAGAACAATTGGGGGGATTGAGAGATACGTAGATTGAAAAATCTTCAAAGGAATTGAATAAAAAAAAGAGACAGAACTAGCCATACTGAGCTCGTGATGATGGTCCACGCAAGAAGACGTTTTTCACATATTCCAGTTTAAAAGCCCTAACACAAAATTAACTTCCTGCACTGATCACAGGCCGTACACTCACTAAACGTTGTGAATTTTCTTCCTTTTAAGATGAGATCATAAAGATGGAGAAAAAGGAGAAGAAGAAAAAGTCAGGGACCACCAGCGGAAAGGCTGGTGCTAAACGCACACGGGGAAGCCCGCGAGGGCGTAATGGATTGAGAGGCAGAGGCAGAGGCGCCAGAATAAAGCGTAACGTTGGAATCGTTAAGAAAGATCAAACATGGCAAGCAGGCCAGAATAACAATAACAATAATAACAATATCAATGTACGCGGTGGTTTCGTTCGAAAACGGTACAAGAAAAACACCGGCTTGACCAGGTCACGTAGCAATTTGACATTGAATCAAAAATCGAATATACGAGGAGTCTTTAACACTCGCCGTGCTCGCGGCAACAGATTCGGTCTGACCCGTAGTAGAAGTCGCACAAATTTGACTTTTACTCAGGGAGGATTTTTCACCAACAATAAGGCTACATTGAAAAAAACGAACAGTCTACCGAATTTGCGTGACCCTACGTCGGTTCACAATCGGCTCGGATATCAGAGCCCTGCTCAAGTTGCTTACCGCAATCGCGTTAAAAAAGCGAAGCAGTTGCTACTACAGAAACAGAATCAGAGATTATCCTTACAAAATCAGTTCAGAGTAAGTCGCCGAATGATAGTCGGAAAATCGTGATCAAACTGATATTAAATGAGTGTTCTGTTTTCTTATTTTTAAAGCAAGCTTCGCAAGCCGGGAAGTCGGTGATGTCGGTTCAACAGAGATCCGCAGGAAGGAGGCAACAGATTTTAACGTCCCAGCGTCGTTTCACGACGGGTGGACTGCGATCGGACCAGATTGCCCGCGCTCAAAGACGTGTCCAGTATGAACAAAAATTGATGAGAATGAAGTATGCTAAAGCGTTCCACGATTTATCAAGCTGATTACGAGCATATTGATAAGAGACTCTTAAATTATTTTTACTTTAAATCCTTTTATAAGACCTTACTTCAAGTGATACGATGTTACAGTACTGCAAGATTAAACCCGAGCGCAAATGTTAACTGTATGTGTAAATTGGGGAACGAGTACAGCCCTAGCAAACATCCACGGCCTCTTAATTTCACGCCGAACCAGAATGGGAACACTCCGGACGGTATGGGGGACATTTACCAGCAGTGCAAACGTTTAAGCGTGGTACGTATAATTCTAATCGAAGAGAAACGAATCGCGACTGTGATCATTTGTAACGTATGTAATTCGTCATTCGCAGAATATAAAATATAAAAGGCCTCTGTCACCGATCTCGGAAACGGACGATTACCGTATGTTCAGTCAGATCATACACAGAATAAGTGGAAGTCACACGAATAGTACGCTTAACGATAGATTTAGCTACTAAGTCGAACAAGAGAAATTTGTTTTGTATTTAGAATATAAGACTGTTGAGGCCAGAATTCAAAGCGTGCAACATAAATGCCTGAACATAGTAATTCAGTTTTATCGATGATATTAATATTTAACTTATACGAAATGAATTTGCAATTTAAATAACTCTGATGTCTTTCGTATCTTTTCGTCTATGTAAAATATAGAAGTATTAATATTATTTGAGGACGTCTGAAAGATCATGTTTTTCTTAATTGATGAAATCGTAGTAACTTAATATAATTCTTTCCCCATTGTAATTTTGCTGAGAGACGTGGCCTCGATGAAACGAGTTTAACATGTGTATCTAAGAAAACGTAGTAGTAATGAAAATCATTGAGCGTTATAATTACATTCGAGTTTTCGAGATTTTAGGAATTTTGTTAAGGACGTAGTTCCTAAAATAATCATAAGTCTGACTGGGGAAATAAATTCATTTTTCGAGAAACGATTGTTACGCTAATTGATATAAGAATTCATTTTAAACTGTCGAATACGATGTACCAATGAAATACAGAATTACAATGTAGCAAGGTTTTTCTCTGTTATACTTAGAAATTGTACGCGCTTCTAAGGAAATCATAATCAGAGTATAATTAATAAGAGTACAATGTAAAAGATCGACTTTTTATATTTTAATGTATCAACATAATTTAATACGTGTATCTTCTGAGTACATATTAAAGATTAGAGAGACAGAATCTTTATTAATATAAAGTTATGTTTATCAATCGAACGATCTCCAGCTGTTTATTAGAACTCCATGTCCCTTCTTTAAATCCTGCATCGCGATTTGCAGATATTTTCACTGAGTAATAGAGTTCTGAATTTATCGCTAATAGCATTCTAATTTCACATCGTACTCAAAGTCGGAAGTTTATAGAAACGATGGTTATGCGAGGAGAGTTCCTTTTATATGAATAAAAAGAAAGAGGCTTTCTACAGATCGAACAATTCGATCGACATAGAAGATGTCTATCAGAATCTCGTCACTTCTGTCACAGTTTTACACTGGAAGTACGATAAAACAGGTAGATACTCCAAGCAGTTACAGTTAGCAGCAGTAGAATCGACGATTATAACTGAAACTATTTTTAGTTTTTAGCCTGTGCTTCTATCAATGTTCAACAAATCCGACGCCTACAAGTTCACGAACATGTCGCGTATACTTTATTAAAAGAAGCTGGGATCCCGACACCGCCGTTTGGAGTTGCCAAAACAGGGGAAGAAGCTGCAAAGATAGCCGAGAGTCTCAAGACGAAAGATATCGTCATAAAAGCTCAAGTCCTTGCCGGGGGCCGTGGGGTAGGACGGTTTCAGAACACCGAGATCGGCGGTGTCGTTATGTGCGAAACGTGAGTCGAGAATCAAGAATCAAGCGCGGCGATTATAACTTTTATTCAATGTCATTTTTAGTCCCGAGCAAGCAAAAGATTTGGCCAGCCAAATGATAGGAAATTTGTTAGTAACGAAACAAACCGGGTCGGCTGGTAGAATTTGTAATTCAGTAATGGTGACAACGCGTATGTTCCCGCGTAAAGAATATTACCTGGCAGTAACGCTCGAACAAACTTACCATGTAAACTCTTTTATTAAAACGATAGGAGTAGTTCAAATTTCTTAAAACAAGTCATATAATTTATAGGGTCCCGTGGTGATACTGTCTAAGCAGGGCGGTGTGAATATCGAAGATATCGCCGCGAAGACTCCGGAGGCGATATCGTATATACCGGTGAACATAATGAAAGGTTTGACTGTCAAGCAAGTGAACAAAATTGTACAGAAGCTAGGTATAGAAGGGAACGACAAAGATATCGTCGGAGTGATCGCTTGCAATCTCTACGAGACGTTTATCAAGAATGACGCGTTACTGCTTGAAATTAATCCATTCGCTTTAGACCTCTCCGGGGAATGTGAGTTGTACAATGAATCGATCGATCTCATTGAATTAAGAATCCCTTAATAACGAAAACGAAAAACTTTTCAGATTTCGCTTTAGACTGTAAATGTTCTTTCGATGATAGCGCAGAGTTCAGGCAAAAGAAATTATTTTCTTTCAGGGATCTTACACAAGAAGATCCTAACGAACTCCAAGCGTCTAAATTTAATTTAAATTACATAGCGTTAAGCGGAAACATAGGGTGTTTGGTGAACGGCGCGGGATTGGCGATGGCCACTATGGATATGATTCAATTGTACGGCGGTATGCCGGCTAATTTTTTAGATGTGGGTGGCTCCGCAACGAAGGAAACCGTAACAGAAGCTTTTAAAATAATAATCTCTGATCCGAAGGTAATTAAACCTCACGTCTATATAAATCGACATAAACTTGAATTCCAAGTATTCAGGTAGAGGCGATTTTGGTAAATATATTCGGTGGTATTATGAGATGTGACATAATCGCAGAAGGAATTATCGCCGCGTCCAAGGAATTGAAGCTAACAGTTCCGGTGGTCGTAAGACTGCAGGTAATTCGCGGATATGCACGAGGGAACGTTGATCAGAAGTTGTTTTGTTATGTAGGGAACTAACGTAGAGATCGCACGGAAGTTAATAGCTGATGCACAAGTGAAAGTATTCCCCGTAGACGAATTTGCCACGGCCGCTGAATCGGCTGTGAAATTATCGACCATAATACAACTTGCGTCTTCTATGAATTTAGAGGTTTCTTTCAAGCTTAAAAAGAAAAAGGTGAAGAGTTCGGACTGTGGGACGAAAGCTAAATGATCTTTCTACATTTTTAACGAAATTTGTAACACGCTGTACAATTATTAATAGCTCTTTGTTTGCTTTTACTTTTGCTATGTCGTACGATGTGAAAACATCGCCTGTATTCTTTTAACTTTTATAAATTTGTATCAATCTAAATGTAGACGTAAAGAATAAATATTTTTCTCATATTTCTGTATATAATTTTACTCTACTTCCCTTCCTGCGTTCATCGCAATATTACAATCCACGCGACCAGGAAAGATAAGAATAACGCGCATTAACATATTCAAATGCTGAATGAGAAATCGAAACGTGACTGGAAGTGACTGAAGTCTTGAATACGAAACTAAGTTTTTCTGCATAAGAATTGTTGCATGATAAATCAAATGTTCGCAGAAAATCGTGATCTGTAGTAGTGCTGCCATCGCAGGCTTCGTTTGCGGAGTTTGCGTCATGTTTTCTACTAGTATAAACGTCAAGAAAGGTGGGGACATGAAGGCGCAGCTTACACTTGGCAGTCCACTGCCACGGCTTTAATAAGATGGCTACCATGTTGTCTCGGACTATCTCACTCGTTGAAAATCTCACCCGATTCAACGGGTCGAAGGTAAGTTGCATTCTCCGTAAGCTACTGTTCCGCCCGAACCCGACAATCCGTGTTTGCTCGTTCGGTTTAGTTATATTCTTCCGAAACCGTCAGGATTTACGCCAATGATTCATAAGTGGGGTAATCACCATATTAGATGTCTGTAGTCTGCTAAATTGGGCGCCAGGGTCAGCCGATTCGAAGCCAAAGATAGTGGCCTTGCAATAAACTCGCTTTTTTCACGAAATACAAGCATGTCAATTGTGCAATAGACGTCTAAATGTCTCCCTGGGCAACCTTTGATTCGTTGGTCATTGACTCTTGCTCGTCTGCCCGTATTTAATTAACTTTTATTAAATTACGTCGAGAATGAGCGACCACTTGTCAAACGCAAGAGGAGTCCCGATTTTCAAATCTAATAGCTGACCGCTTCAATTGTTTTCGTTTGTTCTCTTTCGAAGTATATCTCTGTTGACTTTAAAAATTTGCAACGGCGGTGCCTCTGATCTATTATTCACGTTCGATCTGTTTACTTGTCGAAGATGAAGCTGCCAAGGATGTGATTAGAAGTATGTAGGTCATTACCGCCGATTGATCTTTGAGTTTAGAATATTTTTAATTCGTACGGCGAAACACGCTGGTTTAAAGTTCAAGAGCTGATGCTACTTTGTTTTACGTTGCATGTTGACAATTCGTAGTAAATGTTATTTATAAAGATTTGTCAATAAATTACATAATTATACACGCTATATCCAGACTAATTATCTGAAGCTGTAACATATAAAGACGTTCCGTCAATGGACACAGTTCTTATTGAAACCCCTTTGTACTTGTTTGCGGATAGATTTTGGGGTGCAAAACCAACTTAGTGAAACAACCAGTTAGGAATTTAAATGTCCACGAACACATCAGCTACAGCTTACTCAATGAAGCTGGAGTCCCGACTCCGAAGTTCGGAGTTGCCAAGACTCCGGATGAGGCTGCGAAACTCGCCGCTGACTTGAAAACCAAAGATATCGTTTTGAAGGCACAAGTCTTAGCTGGCGGCAGAGGAAAGGGTCACTTTAAAGGGAGTAGCATCAGCGGTGTAAAGATGTGTGAAACGTAAGATATCACACAGAATCTTAATATGAGCAATACAAAAATGGTTTGTGTTATCGTGCGTTGATCTTTGTATAGTCCGGATGAAGCGAAGAAATTAGCCAGTCAAATGTTGGGCAAATTGTTAATCACTAAACAGACGGGCGAGGCCGGTAGGATATGCAATGCAGTTATGGTGACACAACGCATGTTCCCGCGTAAAGAGTACTACCTTGCGGTCATGATGGAAAGAGCCTTTGGTGTAAGTCGACGAATAGACGTTATTTGACTGACATGAGCCAGGAAAAATGATTGATTCAATTGGACACTTTTTTATTTAAGGGTCCAGTGATAATAGCTTCCAGCCAGGGTGGTGTAAATATCGAAGAAGTTGCTGCAACGAATCCTAGTGCTATCATGTATGAACCCATTGATATCGAGAAGGGTATTACGAAAGAACAGGCAGATCGTATTGCCGTGAAGCTTGGACTTCAGAATGTTAAAGATTACATTTCTAACATTATTATCAACCTGTATCAAATGTTTCTTAAGAAGGATGCTCTTTTATTAGAGGTGAATCCTTTGGCAGAAGACATTAATGGACAATGTAAGTTTGATATAAAAATAAAGATGTTTCCATACGAGGTAGAAAGGAAAGATTTTCAATCAAACTTCACGATATTTAGACTTCGCCTTGGACTGCAAGTGCAGATTCGATGACAATGCTGAGTTCAGGCAAAAGGAATTATTCGCTCTGAGAGACTGGACTCAAGAGGATGCCAAGGAAGTCGAAGCTGCTAAATTCGATTTAAATTACATCGCGCTCGATGGTAACATCGGGTGTATGGTAAACGGGGCTGGTCTGGCTATGGCCACTATGGATATTATCAAATTGCATGGTGGAGAGCCAGCCAATTTCTTAGACGTCGGCGGCGGCGCAACCACTTCTGCTGTGAAAGAAGCATTTAAAATCATAACTTCTGACACACGAGTGAGTTATGCAACATCATTAATATCGATGAAAAACTTTTGTAGATAAGATAAACATTTCTTATTTCGATTGATACAGGTTCACGCTCTCTTAGTCAATATATTTGGCGGAATTATGAGATGCGACGTGATTGCCGAAGGAATTATCGCCGCGACTAAAGAGCTCAGCTTAAAAATTCCTGTCGTCGTTCGATTGCAGGTATGAATTAATGCCAATAGCGTTCCCAAAGTGACGGTACGAAGGATGGAATCTAACTTTGATTGCATGATTTCAGGGTACAAACGTAGACGAAGCGAAAGCTCTTATTGCGAACGCGGGTTTGAGAATCGTACCGATAGACGATCTCGACGAAGCTGCCCGCGTCGCGGTCAAACTGTCTACGATCGTTAAATTAGCACAATCCGAGAATCTTAGCGTCAACTTCGAGATACCTTCGATTTCCTAAATCTAGCAAAAATTTGTAATTTACCATATATTATGGACATACATTACGAAGATATATTCACATTGTTAAAAGCGTTTGGAACAACAATTTGAAAGTAATAACTAGATTGATATTAACCATTGATTTCGAATGTAATTTCTGTCGTATTTTTAAAACGACGTTCTTGAACGTACTTCATATGTTTCTACTACAAGTGGAAATGGACATTCTTAGCTTTGCTTGATGTTTCGAACGTTCGTATATTTTTTCTAAGATGAATAACGCGGACGCGTGCTCGTTTTACGATCTTGTATTAAATCGTTACTGTTGTAAAAATTGCCAGGCACAGTTTGCTCGAAATCGATGTTGCTTTTTTACCCGATGCAAGCACAAACTCATACATCCCGAAACGTATGCAGACCTCTTCAAGAATGTAATTTATTGTTTTCCCGATTAACGGGTCTCTGTGATTCAGTATTAAAATTAAGTTACATAATATACGGTTATCGACATAGCCATATTTTTTGCACGACGTGTACTCTATATTCTTTCAAAGCTTATATACACATCATACTTGTATACCGAAAAAATACGAGATTAACTGTCCAAAAAACGACACCTTTTATATAACCGTTCATAAGACAAAAAATTGTTATATTCGAAACGCATTACCGTGAGATATGATTATTATATCTCGCAGTTAAAAAAAAACCTGGGCCTGTTTAATGTAATATATAGACTTAATGTAGTTATATGTATACATATATATATAAATTATTTTACGTAATTTTAATTTGTTTTTATTTTGCTAATTAATCAAGAATGATCACGTTTCGTTATTCCCTTGGGCGCAATTATTACGGAATAGTCAATAATAAATCGTACATCAATATTATGCTATGTTCACGTAATTATCAGATATAATTGCATTTCTGTTACGAATATTACACGACGCAAAATGTAATGCAGAAAGATCATAGCATAATTTTGATCGAAAATGAGAAAACGATGATCTTACTTGAAATGACAACGGGAAGATGTTTGAGAGAGGCTTGGATGTTCCTTAGGATGCGGATGCTTTGATGATTTTGTTATTGTCGGCAATAGCCTTCTTTTTAAATAAAGATACGCTATTGTTCACTTTATTACATTTTTCATTCAGCACCATAGCACCGACGAATTTAAATATCTATCCGTTGTTCGCGACTCGCGACTCTTAAAGATTGGCACTACTGTTCATATTATACGATTGGCAACCGGTAGCTTGGATTTTGAATTGCTTATATATATACTTACGGTTTCAACGGTGTCGAACGAATTGTAACGACGTTTTTTAAGAGGCAACAGCTCCTGTAACTTCGTGTTCGATTTACTGTAAAATAGAAGAAAGATGGTTCGAACAAGAGCAGATCGCATACAGGCGAAAGGTGAAATATTCAATTTATCAAATCTCTTATTCAGAAATTGTAAGAAGTCAGTGATTCCTTTGCTTAATCGATTTCCGATTAAATTCAACCATATTTCCTATTCCTTCATTTGCGAGTATCATACTTCTGTCTAAGAATATCTGAGGGATCGAATAACTTTGTTAAAAATATTTATCGTTTGTATTCCTTAGCCGTCGGTAGTAAAGCACCATCGAAAGTCGCAGCTATAGTACCGAGTTCGCCAGTTGTGACACCGTCTAAGAGGAGAGGTAATGCCTGATATATTTATTTAAGTGAACGACGAATTGAAAACAAATTGAATAAACAATTTTAGGAAAAAGCTATTCCGGTGGCAACCCGTATCATCCAAGAGACACGCCAGAATGGCAGAAACCTATTACAAATTTTCTAAATCCTGACTCTGTTTACTCAGAAATTACAAATACCACTCCAGCTACTCCATCTCCAAAACGTGCCAAAGAATCAGCGAACATTGCTTCAAAGATTGAAGTATGCAATCAAACTGTTGTTATATATCTTTAATCAATACAATGATATTAACAATATTCTGATTTAACAGGAACTCTGTGATGACGAAGACTCCAATAACTAAGCGGAGTCAATAAACCAAGACTTACATATTTTAATCATTGTTATTTTAATGTGTCAACAAAGAGAGTTGCTCAATTTTTATTTAAATCTTCAGATGATAGAAAATCGTTTAGTCAAGTTGGAAATGAGTCAAATG